TATACAATGAGAAAATTAGGGAGATTATAATTAGGAGTTGCTAATTAGGTTCTTAATCATATCAATCGGAATTAAAGAATGGGGCCCGCGTAGAGGATAGTTCAACAACTCGATTGTGAAGATTAGGGAAGTGGGTCCCCCACCGGCCTTTAACAATGACACTTTCACACGTCAATACAATAAATAATTTATTATAAATAATTAAATATTCACTTAATCTTTCAATTATGCCATTGATGATGAATGATGATGATAATGCAACTTGTCTATATATATACACACATATACATATATTATACATGTTTTTAGGTGATTGGTACATATGTACCCTCTTTGCTTGTATTTCCGCATACTAACTTTTAAATATCGTCCGTATATATCATTATATTCATAATAATAATAATAATCATGATTGAATATTAAAACATTGTTAAATGTAAACGAATTTTATGTAATTTTAATATATATATTTGTATGATATATAGAATTATTCTTATAATATACATGTATATATATTATAATTCAATTTCTTCGATCTTCTATTATTTTAAAAAATGAATGTCTCGAGTATTTTTTTTGTTGGCATATGTCGTTGCTAAAAGATAATAAGATTTAAATAGGAAGAGAAGAGAAGAGACAAAGAAGAGAATCCATGATAACAACTTTGAAAATTCATAGAGAAACACATAAAAGGGCCATATGCATACTTTCAACCTTATAATTATGTAATATATCACATTGATTATTAGATATAAAATAATATGTACACACACACACATATATATATATAATAAAATAAAATATGATATGAGGTAGCACAGAAATTTGGGTTACCATGTGATGTGATTTGTGCCACTTGCATGTGTTTACAATCAACATATATAATTTATATATACCATTAAGGAGACAACTTTGTACGGCAGTGTACAAAGTTAATTCAAACACCCACATATATTACGCTTCCTGATTATTTAATTAATATATTAAAAATTAATTACCATTATGATAATGGGTTTTTTTTTATTTATTTTATTTTAAAAGTTGGTGTGCATAATATTTTGTATTTTATACTATTACTTATCGAGAGATATATACATAATATTTACTCGAATTTGGAAAATAATACGAACATAATCATCTTTCGAAATCAACACTCACGTTTTATTTTTAATTCAAGAGATATACATAAGCTTCGTTTGATCTTGAAATCCATATATCTATATATATATACATACAATTTTCGAGTCCTATTGTGAATTAATGGGTAATTGGTAATTTTAATTTTGTTGGGTTTATCTGAATTAATTATATTTAAAATAATAATTGAACAATCCAATTAAATAATAAAGTTTTGTAGTCGTAATTCTATAAAATTAATGAAAACGTATCCTCACAACATTAATTATAGACTTTTCATTGATGAAAATCCACATAAAGAGACTGATAACCCAAGAACAGAATGGTCAAAAAGTATATGTATATGATTTAACAGTACTATATATATATATATTTGTGTGTGTGTGTAGGAGCACTACCATAATGAAAGTGAATTGAATTTACACAAACTAACAAATATAAATATACACCCACATAATATATAGAAGAGGGTATCATTAAAAGATTGGTGATTGACTGACTGGCTGACCAACCAAATTAATAGGTAGTAGTAGTATAGTGATACATATATATATATATACACACACTTACTTGTATGTATGCCGGCAAGAATGGATGATGCTTTCTTGGATGGCAGGTTTTTCACTCTCTATCGCAGTAAACTTTTAATTAATGTCTTCCTGACACATCAAATTCAAAAGTTGATTTCATGTTTTCACCGAGGGACAATATCCAAATCCTAGGTTAGTATAACAAACATATATATATATATATATAGATATATATTGTATATACATGTGTGTATAGAAATGGGTGATTAATAAAAAAAAAAAAAAATGCGGGATTGATATTGATTGAGAAGAGAATGACAGTTGATGATGATGATGATGATGATAATAATAATTATTCACATAAAGGCAAGCAGGCATAGCCCAACATTCACATAATATTACACTACAGATATATATATATATATATATATATATATTAATATCTGCATACGAACTACAGTATTGAATGTTTTGAAAAAAAAAAACCAATCCTATTAACATCATTAACTCCAAAAGTTCTCTGACTCCTCAATCCCACTCATATTAATACACACACACATATATATATATATACATATTTCTTTCTTTGTTACTGATAGTGATAGTAAAGTTAAATCCTCGGTCTAAACCCTACTCATACATACACCCATATTTTATATATATATATATATATGCTTTGGTAACTATCAAGAGTGTCATACAGTGTAAAGATATTAAAAGTTTAACAGTATAAGTATAAATGTGATAATGCAGACTTCAAATTACTATGTTTTAACAACGTTGGGTGTAATTCAATTACAAATATATAAAATTGTTCATTACATATATGATATATGGTGGGGCCCATTTGGGTTAATATGAAATTTCATACATATACATGCACCTGGGTGGGACCCACCTCTCTTTTGGTAAATAGATGAGTCCATGTATTAATGTATAAAATCTGCCCCGTGTATTATTGTTTATTATTTTTAATTAATTATTAAGTGGCTAAAAAAATGATTTTTTCTTTTTTAATTTAAAAAAAAAAAAAACTTTTTGAAGCATTAAAGTAGGTGTAAATGGTGGTTGGTCCTGTGTGTTTCTTGCCAATTTAATTGCTTTATCTTCAAACTCTGGCATCCAACCACACAAAAAAAAAAATATATACATACACATATATATATATATATATATATGAAAACTATGAAAAAATATATTCTGAAAAAAGACAAAACAGATATTTATTTTTGAATTCAAGAGGACCCCTCCAACCCCAAACCCAACCCCCACACAAAATTCTATATCATCTACATATATATATATATATACATACACACACACACACACACATATATGTATATATAATTGTGTTCTTATTATCATATATTAAAAGTTGGGTTGAAGAAAAAGAAGACGACGTTTCCTCGTTTCTCTGTTGTTTGTATTTTTTGATCTGACACAATTTGCTATAGAAATTTTGTTTTTTTAAAAAATAATTTTTAATATTTCACGAGTGTTATTATATAATTATAATAATTTAATTTTGAATGTAACGAATGATTTAGTGGTGTTTAATTTTATTTTAATTTTTTAAATAATTTTAAAAAATAAAAATAGAATATAAATGAGGTAGATTTTTGAATTAAAATGTAATGGTATAATTTAAAATGAATTTTATATCCATTTCAAGTTTTTTTGATTTATTTTTTACGAGTGAAAATATGAATATATTAAATAGTTGGAATTCAAAATGTAATAGTTTTAAAGTATGATTATTTTAATTACGAAATTAAACCTAATTTATTAATTAATAAAATTAATTAAACCCAGTTGCTTAAAAAGTATAATAATAATTTCATTTTTTTTTTTTAAAGAAGAAAAAGAAGAAACAGTAGCCATCTCTTTCTCTCTCAGTCTCTAAAAAGGTTGTATTGCTGGTGATCGAAGGTGGGTTTTTCTGAGACTGAATCAAACTGACTTGAAAAGGGACCGTCAAATCAAATCAGAAGAATTCCCTTCTTTGATCTCATCGCAGGTACTTCTCACAAAAGTCACCATTAAAACACCAAAAAGAAAAAAAAAAAAAAAATTTAATAAAGAAAAGGATATCAGCAGAAGGAGCAGCCAGCAGGGAGATGAGGAAGAAGAAGATCAGATAACAACCCTTCAGTTTACAGTACAAATTTTTAAAAAGATTAAAATTTTTAAAATACCCAACTGTCAGAATAATAATAATTTCATGATAAATTTGTGGATAATGAGTAGTGAATAAAGATGGGTATCTTTTTCTGTCTCTCTCTCTCTCTCCCTGTTTTTCTTTAAGAAAGAGAGAGAGTTGCAGAGAGAGTCGAGTCTGACAAAGGGTCTTTCTTCTTATATTTGAAGGGACTGATATGATCATTTGATAAATCCATAGATAGATCTAAGAAAATTGACAGGTGGGTGTCTATGACTGTTGCAAATTTTGCAATTCGTCTCTGTAATTTCTTTTTCTTCTTCATCTGTAAAATATAATATATATTCTCTCTGTGTCTTTTCTCTTGTATTATAGCTATAACCCTATATAATCGTATACCACTACTCCTCTCTGTTTGAGAAAAAAATTTATTGGGTATTGGGTAATTTGCAGGTGAAAATTCTTTCTTTTTGATTTTCCTCTTTCTTTCTTTCTTTCTTTCTTTCTTTCCAATTGCAGGGAAGATGATCATGGAGCACGTGCACACTCAGATTTCCATCACACCAGGTACCCTAATTCTTTTATATAATTAAATTTAAATACTCTACAAATTTTTCTTTAATCAATTCTTTTCCCTCTTCTCTCTATCTCTATCTCTCTCTCTCTCTCTCTCTGTCCATCACTTTATCAGTCCCTGTACCTCTCTCTCTCTCTCTCTCTCTCTCTCTCTCTCTCTCTCTCTTTCCCTATCTATATCTCTCTATATAAGCCACTTACCTTCATTTACACCTCCCTTTTCTCCTTCTTCTTCTTCTTCCTTTTTCTCCTTCTGGGAACCACCCCTACTCGAAGCTCTGGAGAAGATGAAGTACTTCACAGAAAATATACTGTTGGTAATTCAGATGATATTGCTGGAATATCCTCCGACCTCTCAACTCACTGTTTATGGATTTTCAGATGAGAGTTTTCTTCCATCTTCCCACAGCTTCTGATCAACCCACCATCCTCTCCTCCTCTTCTTCTTCTTCTTCTTCTTCCTGTCTTCACTGTCTCATTTATATCTACATATATAGATACACCAGTTTGATTCAGACACCGTAATATATGGGTTGATCCTCATGCATCACTCAATTATAAGGTATATATAGACAGACCCACTTATTTGTTTATATGAATTGGTGTAATATATTATAGAACCTTTATTTGTCCCTCTGCATGTAGACACACACATATATATATAAATATAAATTATATATACATAGAGCACTAGATAGTGATGGTGTATGTTTGTGCTTTCTGATGTATATACACACAAGTCATTTCTGGGTCATCTCTCTCTTTTTCAGTGAAGTAGATCAAACCAGCAGCAACAACAACATAGATTTCTACAAAACATCGTACCAGATGGCGACCTACTTTCATGGCAATCCAGAAATACAGGGTCCCGACGGTCTACAAACCCTCGTCCTCATGAATCCAACTTACGTTCAATACTCCGACAACCCTCCGCCACCGCAGGCGCCACCGCCACCTCAACATAGCAATCTTTTTTTCCTCAACTCAGCCAACTCACTCTCTCCCCACGCGCCGCCCCCCCACACCCAGCAATTCGTCGGTATCCCCCTCCCTGCAACCGCCGCAACGACCGCCGCCGCTCCTCAAGACCCAGCTGATATCTCCACCTTGCATGGTCTCCTTCCACGCCTCCACTACAACCTGTACAACCCCATCGACCCCTCTCAGTCGGCGCGTGATAATCCACGCGCTCCTCAGGGATTGTCTTTGAGCCTCTCGTCCCAGCAGCCGCCCGGTTTCAGGTCACAGGCTCAAGCGCTTTCGGCCGAGGATATGCGGGTCTCGGGTGGGTCGGCATCTTCCGGGTCGGGTGTTACAAATGGAGTCTCGGGTATGCAGGGCGTGCTGTTGAGCTCCAAGTACTTGAAAGCTGCTCAGGAGCTTCTTGATGAAGTTGTTAGTGTTAATAACAATGGAATTAACAATAAGGTTGAATTATCAAAGAAGGGAAGTGGGAGTAACAATAGCAGTAATGGTAGTAAGGCGATCGGAGAATCCTCCGTCGGTGCCGGAGATGGGTTGGTCGGCGGTGAAGCGGGCGGGAAACGTGCCGCCGAGCTGACTACGGCCGAGAGGCAGGAAATTCAGATGAAGAAGGGAAAGTTAATTAGCATGCTTGATGAGGTACGGATATCTATACATATGTATGTTCATATATATACGCACGCCAGTTTTTATTACTTATATAGAAATCTTTTTGTGTTCTTGGTGGGTGGGTTTTGGTGATTTTCAGATGGAGTTCGGTTTGATCTTTGCAAATTCGGTAAAAGAAAGAAAACGAGATAATATATATATATATATATGTATATTAGAAAACAAATATGTATCTACAGGGATTGTTTATTGAATTTGATACCTGAAAAGAATTCACTAATTAATTCTCGAGGCCCTTTTTTTTTAAGATCTAATTAAGTAATTCTGATAATTAAGCCTCAACGAAACGAGGATTCTGGTTTTGTTCTTTGAAATTTACAGGATATGAAATGATGGATTCAACAGTTAGAATAAATGACCAAATTAAACAGAACTGATTTCTGGGTTATTGTCAAGGTTTAAGCTCTAATGACTGTTTATTACAGGTGGAACAAAGGTACAGACAGTATCACCACCAGATGCAAATAGTAATATCTTCTTTCGAGCAAGCTGCTGGTATCGGTTCTGCCAGGACATACACGGCCCTCGCTCTGAAAACAATCTCAAAGCAATTCCGATGCCTGAAAGATGCCATTACTGGTCAAATTCGAGCTGCAAACAAGAGCTTAGGCGAAGATGATTGCCTTGGAGATAAGATTGAAGGTTCCAGGTTCAAATTCGTTGATCATCATCTTCGACAACAGCGAGCACTTCAGCAGTTGGGAATGATCCAGCATAATGCTTGGAGACCCCAGAGAGGATTACCGGAAAGATCAGTTTCTGTTCTTCGTGCCTGGCTGTTTGAGCACTTCCTCCACCCGTAAGAACTCTGGCCTTGTTGAAAGTTTAAGTTGATAAAAAACGAATATTTTTTTGTCTCCAACAAATTAATCCATATCAGTCTTCTAACTTTCATGTCTGATTTTTTCGTCTTTGATTCCAGTTATCCAAAAGATTCAGACAAGCACATGCTTGCTAAACAAACAGGGCTGACAAGGAATCAGGTACTCGACCAGTCTCTGCAATATTGGCTGCTTCTTGTTCCTCGGATTTAGCAACTCTTGAATTAATAAGTTTTCTATGGTAATGTAGGTGTCTAACTGGTTCATAAATGCTCGAGTTCGGCTATGGAAGCCAATGGTTGAAGAAATGTATTTAGAGGAAATCAAGGAACAAGAACAGAATGGATCAGATGACAAAACAAGCAAGAGTGAACATGAAGATTCAGCATCCAAATCCATGCGTCCTAAAGAGAAGAGTTCTGTCCCTGAAACTCAAGCCAAAGGCAGCCTAAAGTCCAAACAGGACAGCATAGCCAACCAGAACATTCCTTCATCTATGTCAATTTCCACTGCTTCAACATCTCCCATGGGAGGAAATCTGCGAAACCAGTCTGGATTCTCGCTCATTGGGCCATCGGAACTGGAAGGTATCACTCAAGGGAGTCCCAAGAAACTGAGAAGCTCTGAAATGTTGCAGTCTCCGAGTAGCATTCCATCAGTAAACATGGATGCTAAGCATGCTGAGGCTAACAATGAGCAGATTTCTATCAAATTTGGGGATGAGAGGCAGAGTAGAGATGGCTATTCGTTCATGGGAAGCCACAACAACTTCATTGGAGGATACGGACAATACTCACTTGGAGAACTTGGAAGGTTTGATGCAGAGCAGTTCACTCCCAGGTTTTCTGGCAATGGTGTTTCCTTAACCCTTGGCCTTCCTCACTGTGAAAACCTTTCCTTGTCGGCAACCCACCAAACTTTTCTGCCATCACAAAACATTCAACTGGGAAGACGAGTGGATCAGCTTGGCCAACCAAATGAGTTTGGTGCCATAAACACGTCAGCTCCTCACTCTTCAGCTGCATATGACAACATCAACATTCAGAACCGAAAGAGGTTTGCAGCTCAGTTACTCCCAGACTTCGTGGCCTGATAAGAAAGCATAACACCATCATTATCATCACCATGTAGAAGTAAAGAACGACGAGCTACTTTCATGGCTGCAAAGGTCTCTCTTCTTACTTTTTCTTGCTGTTCTCTTGATTGTTAGGGAACAAAGAAGCTAAACATGCATGGTAGTGTAAAGAAAGAAGAATTTTACTTAGTATAGAATCTTATACTCTTCATAGAACCAATGAGTTCTTAGACAGCTTAGGATTTAAGCATATATATGATTGAGGATTGTATATTAATTTTTGTAAGTTTTGGAGATGGGTAGATGGGATTGGTGTCATAAGATAAAATTAGCTATTTGGGTATACCAAAATATATTGATTGTTAGTTAATTATAAATGGTGTAATTAAACTTGTGTTGTCTTCTATGAAATTAGTATCATAGTTCTAAAGTACTGAGATACAACATGAACCAGTTTTCACTTTGATTGACATTTAATGCTCCATTGAGCTTGTGAAGCCAAAAATTGCAGCAAAAGGTTCATTTCCCAGATAGGGAGAAACTCAGTGGGAAGGATCTAAATTGGTTTGTTTGGCTACCAGTTACTGGTGACAGGATTTGTGTTCAAGACGTCAGTACCTTTCTGCTTTAGCCTATTTTAAGCCAATTTTGGTGGGGACAAATGCAAAGATATATGAATCAATTTCAAACAGGAAAAGAAAATGTGTTACTATCAAGATTCCAGTGCAACAAAATCAGCAGTCTCACCAGTGCACGTCACGTAATGATGCCTAATTTTACCACAAATAAGTCTAGATATCACTGGAAAATCTTTGAAACAACTATAAGTTGTTGGGGTCTGAAATAAAGAATCAAAACAGTGTGAAAACATGATGTCTTTTCAAAGATGAAAGTATGACATACCTTCATTTTCTTTTATTCTTTTCCATCAAATGCGTTTGAGAATAAATCTCGATCATCAAGTCATTTCGTACCTTTAAGGTAGGAGAAAATTCAAAGTAGAGTTGATGATAGTTAGAACACAACAAATTATGTCCTAATTATGCATATAAAGGTTAACATGAAGATTAGAACAAATAATTGACTAAAAATTAAATAAGAAATCATAAAAATACAGCAATACATTAAGCATAGATTTCGACTGATGATTTAGAACCATGAAACTATCAGCAATCATCAATCCTCAGATGATGTCAATTAATCTAAAATAAATGTCATACTTCGAAATAATTCTCAACATTGAAAAAAATATATTCACAATCTGATTTCTGCTTTTTTTTAAAAAAAAGTTCTTGGCAGAAAACCATCAGTAGTTGACAATTACAATATATGTTGTCTATCTAAGGCCACAAAAGTATGATGGGATTGATCATAGCTAAATCATATCGTAATTTGTACAGCTTGAATCGAGCTATCTGGAGATGATTTACAATTAGACAACCTAGCATCACATGATTTACAAGTTTCTAGAAATACAAATGAAACGAAGAGATTTTGACAAAGCACTTAAATGGCCTGGAACTCAAGTATCTCCTGTTTAAAAGATTCATTCCGCTCCTCCAGAGAACAATATAAGAACAAAAATGGAACAAAGAGATTTAGCCAGGCATCAGTTGAGGAAGAGATTGCATGAATTAGTACCAACAGAAAGATGGGAAAAAGCTCCCCGAAACTGTCAAAGTATCTCTGAATCAGGGAGATCATTCTCACCTCCAAGCAACGAAAGTTTTCTCTTAGCTACCTTGGATCTGAAACACCACATCTCAAATGCCTCAGTCAGGTCTGGATATCGTATATGTTTGTTCTCTAACCATTCAGTTAAAATCTTTGCCTGGTCCCCAGATGGCAATGAAAGAATTATTGACACAAATGTGGATTGTAAGGACTTCCACAGTTCACCATCCATTTTAAATGCTGCAGCATCCTCCTCATTTGTGATGATAGAATCAATAAAAGCTTTTGTAACCCTTACAAACGGAAGCCAAACCTTCACCATATGAAACCGTTCAGCAGTTGGTAAAATGACATTGCCATAACCTATTGCTTCTAAAACTTTTGCCGCTACCTCAATGACCTTGAACTTTATCTCAACAGTTTCAGCTACTGGACTTGCTTGCTCAACAAAATTAACAATCTTATCTGAAGCTTCTATCCAACTGTTAACGAATTCCCTCATTATCTCCATCTTAGTTAACATTTGACAAGCCCACAACAAATCTGATAAATGTGATTGAAATAACAGCATATCTCCCAAATCATGGACAGAATCAATTGTATAAGATAAAAGAGTGTCTAACATATCACTGAATCTAGCAAACAGTCTCCTAACACATTCCTCCACCTCCAATTTTATCTCATTTTCATCTGTTAATAGCGGCGCATCATCATCTTCGGTTATCATGTACTCAAGCTGCTCTTGAGCAGAAGATTTAAGATCATTCATCGGTGAAGGAGGTGACGATGTGGCAAACTGAAAGGCTGAGAGAAAAATACCTATAATAGCCGATGAATTTACTGGCTGCAAACGGGCAAGAATTGGCTGCACTTGTGGTCCCAATCCAGGTATTATTTTCAGAATTTCCTCTTCCTCAGCCTCTTCCCAAGGAACGGCTTCCAAGTAGTTCACACAAGCAGTAATAATTTGCGGACACCCAAGTCCTACTGCCACTTGAAGGATGCCAAGGGCATTTTTTACACCATGGCACAAGTCATCTACTGACCCATCAATGATAACATAAAGCAGGCGCAGAACATTAATATGATGATCAAAGTCTGTTTCTTGGCAGTAAACCTCAACACAGTTACGGGAATCAAGAATCTGGCATGTTGGCCAAGTCTCAGAGAGGCGATCTGCAAAATATTTGCTGTTCCTTACAATGATATGAGAGTGACAATATATCCATTCATCACGGCCATCATGGGTTCGTACTCTCACAATAACGTCGCTAGTCGATCGATCACCCATTCTACAAGGAGCCTCCATTTTATTTCCTGAAGACAAGAAAAAATATATGAGTTAAATTTTTAAAATAGAACAGTCAAATAAATGGGAAGCAATAGTAAAGGGTGAAATGTATATGGACAGAGAACATCTCAAGATACATTCCTGTTCAGTTTCAATGGCAAAGCCTCAAAAAGTACTTGACATAAAACATTAGAGTAACGATGAGGAAATCCTTCATTTCAATTGCCTAGATTTTTATCTAACAACTTCTAAATATATGAGGGATAATTACTGCAAATACAGGACACACAGCAATTATTGAGAGAATTGTGTATGTCACAACCGTGACATTTTAACATCCTGAAAAGCTTAAGAGAAATTCAGCCAGTCACACAAAGGGATGGGTCTGAAATTTTATGCAAGATAAGAAAGTGCAGGACACCCATGTTAGATTAAATAATTAGGACTTATTTAACAAGTATCTCTAAAAACAAAAAAAAAAAAGAGTAAAACCTAGAATCTTGAAAAGAAAAATTACAGTTTCAAGTTTCAAGGCAATGCCTGTATATCATCAATTTTAACTCCCAATGGATCAAGATCACTCCCTAATTATTGGTGATTCTCATCCATGCTTGAAGATGTATTTGAACTAAAGGGTAGTCGTGTATTTTTATCAAGGTTCATATTCAAAAATATAAATCTATAGAAAAGTCAATAGGACCACATATATAACTACTCACATTTGTTACTTGCAGCACTATAATTAAGCAATTCCACACACTGTTTTCAAGAAACCACTACGGAACATAATTGAGGTCAAGTGGTCTTTTGAGGGGATTATAATTGTGTAATTCATGTATATCTGAATTCTTAGCTGAATTGGTACTTACCAACCACTATTTTTTTCCATGCTCATAGTAATGTACGTAGCAGCGATAATGAGCATGTTACCCAATTCAGAGTAAACAAGCCTTTAAACAGCATTGCTCGGATCCATCTAAAACCCCTATGATACCCATTATTTGTGAATATGAACAGAGATCAACTAAAGAAACATTAGCAACATCCACAGCAAGGGCTTCTACTTCTTTTGTAATATATGTTATTATTCTCTGCATTACTTCAGAAATAATAATATATATCACTTAAAGAAATGTTAGCATTCTTATCAAGGAGTAAAATGGTAACTTGAACTTAAAAAAGTACTGATATTTGGAGCAAAGATATAGGAAATGAGACGAAAATGCACAGAGCATCTTAAAATTAACTATTCAGAACCGTATACTCCTATGCAAAATAAGAAAACTCCACTCAGACATTTCACCAAACAGCTGGTGTTCAATCGCTCAACTCACATCATTTCTCACACTACATAACACAAACCATTATCAATTCTCCTCATTTCAGCCACAAATCAATAAAAAGAGAAAAGAACTAATAACAGAAGCACGATTATGGACAGTGAAACAGACATTCAATTCTCAATAACCAACCCATTGAAAGAAAACTAATAATGAATAACACAAATTACAGAAAATAAATTCGGGTTCTACCGTTAGTGAGACCACCAGTGACGAATGCAACCAAAACTCCCGTTCCCAGCTATGTTGTGGTGAACTCGAATGACTTAGTCCTCTTGCTGTGCCGTCCGCTTAAGACACAGATACTTCAATCACTGGAAAGTGACAAAGGAAAAACCAGACTTTTTTGAATTTCTAGGTCGTATTCCTTCGCGTTTCTTTTACCTTTGGCGGAAGCCAAGCGCGACAACCTCCCGCCAGCCAGAATTCTTCTCCTCTTTCCCCCCCCCCCCCCCTCTCTCTCTCTCTCTCTCTCCAGCTTTTTTTCTTCAAGATTTCTTTGTTCCGTCTGAAAAGCTTACTCAGAACTTCTTGATATCTTCGGCTTGGATCCCCTGCTTCAACATTTTTGTTATCCCGTGCACCTCATCCGAGCGCACTGATCGAACGGTCCAGATTTAACAAGGCTTCAGGCTTGTTTCATTTGCAATCTAGGCCTAAACAGATTTATCCATAAATCAGCAATATTTATGAATAAAATAATTTAGCTAAATAGTTAACAAGATAAAACTTAGTTTATCTTTTCAAATTAAAGATAATTTATTTTAAAAAATACTTGTAGTGTTCTATTTATAATTAAAAAGAGATATAATTTTAAAGAGAAAAAAATAGCAACCCGAATTCTTCCAATCTTCTATGAAAAAAAATGTTACATCGAATTTTTAACATCAGCCTTTTGGTTTGCCACATTGTCACCTCCTCCACCGATGAATGAACTTAAATCTTCTGCTCTAGTGTGGCTTGAGTACGTGATAACTAAAAATATGAAAATGAGATAAAATTTAGAGGTGAAGAAATGTGTTCAGAAGGACTTTTTGCTAGATTCAGTAATCTCTTTTATCTGATACAACTGACTCTGCATGATTTGGAAGATATATTGTTACTTCAATCACATTTATCATATTTGTTGTAGATTTATCAAATGTTAACTAAAATGGAAATAATAAATGAATTCATTAACAATTTGATAGAAGCATAAGATAAAATTGTTAATTTTATTGAGCAAGCAAGTCTAATAGCTAAAACTGTTGAGATAAAGTTCAAGAACATTGAGGTAGTGGCAAAAATTTTAGAAGTGTTGGAAAATAAAAAAAAAAAAATCCCTCATAGACTCTTTCACAATTACTATTATTAACTTATTTAAAATTTGAATTGTATAAAATATAAATTATTTATGATTGTAATTTATCTTTTATTGGTATAAATAACTATTTGTAATTCATTAAAGATATAAAAAAGATAAAAAAAACTTATATCACATAAAAAAAAAAAAACATATTTCATTATTCCTTGTTTCTTTTTTTACTTTTAGCATTATTTGCATAATCAACTTTAATATTACCAACAAATAGTATCGTAACCTCAATGATTAAGAAGATTACAATATAATTTCCACAAAATATATAATTTATGACTTTCACAAGCACAACCCAATAACAAGTTGTTCTGTTTTTCAATCAAGAAAACTTTGGATATTGGAATATTAGAATGAAGGTTGTCTTACCTGCATCTAGCTTATGGGAAGTAATAAAAAATGATATACTAAAAGTTGAGTGTAATACTAATACACCAACTTCAGTGACTATAGATTAGCCAAAAAAAATATAGAAGCATTAGCCAAAATTCATCTTACCGTATTAGATACAATATTTTCACGTATAATGAATGTTAATTTATCGAAAGAAGCATGAGATACCTTGAAAAATGAATTTAAAAGAACAAAAAAGACGAGAATAATAAAGTTTTAGTCATTAAGATGTGAGTTTGAGAATTTGAAAATGAGAGATGGTGAAACCATTAAAGATTATTCTTTGAGAGTATAGAGCTTGCGAATCAATTAAAAGCGTATGGTGATAGCATTACTAAATCAACGAGTAATAGAGAAAATTTTAGTCAGTTTGCCAGAAAAGTTTAAAATTACGATAATTAGCATAAAAGAATCAAAAGACCTATCGATGTTAACTATATAAGAACTTATTGACTCTCTTGAAGTTCATAAAAATAGGATGTCTAGAAGACATGAAACATTTTTAGAAAAAGCCTTCTAGTCGAAGCATAAAGTTCATCCTCAAGATCAAATAAGAATAAAGATCGGAGGCAATACAATCATCTTAATTTATGTGGATGACTTTATTATTATGGGAAATAATCCATCTACGATAAAAATATTTAAGCAAGATATGATGAAGCAATTCAAGATGACTGATCTTGGCATGATGAATTACTTTTTTGGCATGGAGATTAATCAAACAAATGAAGGGATCTTCATATTTTAGAAGAAATATGCCAACAACATCTTAAAAAAATTTAAAATGAAAAATTGCAAGCCTAGTTCTAACACCCTTAACTCAAAATGATAAAGTTAATAAGGAAGATGACTTTGGAGAAGTTGATACGAAGCAATACAGAACTTTGATTGGTAGCTTATTGTACCTAACAGCCCCAAAGCTAGACATGATGTATATTATAAATATGTTATCCAAATTTATGCAGAAGCTAACCTAAGTACATCTGCAAACAGTAAAAGAGTTCTTCACTATCTAAGAGGAACTTCAGATATTGAAAACTCAAAGTTGATTAGTTAATTTAGATAGTGATTGGGCTGGACCTTTGGATGATATGAATTCAGGCTATGTATTCTCACTTGGAAATGGTATGTTTTCTTGGCTAAGTCATTATTCTCACTTGGAAATGGTATGTTTTCTGGGGTAAGTCAAAAATAAGATACTGTTGCTCAATCAACAGCCTAAGCTGAGTATATAGCAGTATGTGTTGTAGCAAATAAGGCAAATTGACTCTCCTATGCAAAGTGAGAAAACTCCACTGAGACATTTAACCAAACAGCTAGTGTTCAATCTCTTAACTCACATTATTTCTCACTCTATATAACACAAACCATCATCCAATTCTCCTCATTTCAGCCACAAATCAATAAAATGTGAAAAGAACTAATAACAAAAGCACGATTACGGAAAATGAAACATACATTCAACTCTCAATAACCAACCCATTGAAAGAAAATTAATGATAAATCGCGCAAATTACAGAAAATAAATTCGGGTTCTACCATTAGTGAGACCACCAATGACGAATACAACCAAAACTCCTATTCTCTTGTGGAGAACTGGAATGACTTAGTTCTCTTGCTGTGCTGTCCGCTTAAGACACAGATTCTTTAATCACTGAAAAGTGACAAAGGAAAAACCAGAGCTTTTAAATTTCTCAGTCCTATTCCTCGACGTTTCTTTTTACCTTTTCGCGGAAACCAAGCACGACAACCTCCCGCCAGCCAGAGCTCTTCTCCTCTTTTCATCTCTCTCTCTCTCTCTCTCCTCCAGCTCTTTTCTTCAAGATTTCTTTGTTTCGTCTGAAGAGCTTTCATAACTTCTTGATATCTTCAACTTGGATCCCCTGTTTCAACATTTTTTGTTATCCCGTGCACCTCATCTGAGTGCACTGATCGAACGGTCCAAATTTAACAAGGCTCCGCGCAATAAATGGAGATCCATATCGGGCTTTGTTTTACCTAGCTAGCAAGACAAAACTTTCTTTGTCTTTTCAAATTAAAAACAAATTACCTAAAAAATGCTATGAAAAATATGATATATTGAATTTATTTTTTATTTGTTATATCACTATAAAAAAAAATATTTTTATTTAAAAATATAATAAATTTACTGAAATTTTATACCATTATCTTACATAATTTTTTTTTTTATTTCCTAAAACATTGAATCAAACATTATAAATTTATAATATATTTATGAAATAATAAATTCTACGTTTGGAGTAAACTTTAAATTTGAGATCATTATTAGTGGGTTAGTCATGGTAAGAACAAGTGTATAGACTAACATATATATATATATATTTATATATATATATATATATACACACAGAAACACACACACATCATAATTCAAAGTCTCTGGTATTACAATTTGGGAAGACCAGCCACTTGAATAATTGAAATAAAGCTGAAGAAATTCTTTTTGGAGTGTTCTAAAGAGGAAAAATGGAAGACAGTGCAAATATTAAATTACTTTTGCCCCACCAATTTCAATTACTCAAATGTCCAGAACAAACAAACAAAATACGTTGACTCGGAACCCACTAGAATTCAAACTTAATGAAATTTTCTAATTAATTAATAACGAGAAAATCTATACATTAGAATTAAAAATATTTTCGTAATATTCATAAATATTTAACTTATCTTTAAAAATAATTACTGGTTACAAAATTATTTTATAGAATAAATACACAAATACGTATAAAATTTATAGGAGTAAACCCGTGCGTTGACTCAAAGTAATATAAATTGTTTGACTGGGCTGGATAGTGGGATCGGCGTGGGCCCAAGTCTTTTTTTTTCGTCTGTATGGCGGATGGCAGTGGGGAACGCTGCTGTATAGCATGGATCTTGGTCATGGAACGCATTGCAGTATGCACAAAATATATATATATATATATATATATATATTATAGATATATATTATATATGTACACATCTATAACTATATGCTGTCACATCATGCAATGAAATGTGTGATGAATGACTGGACTGGATGGTTATTTAATAATATTCTTCTAGAAACTAAGACTTTTAACTACAAACCCAAGGCTTTATTTATATGTATGTATGCATGTATGTATGTATAATACAATATGTATATATACATTGTATGTAATATATATTGCGGGAAACAATATGCAAAAATTGACCAATCAGATTATTATATTGACGACAGGTAATTAGACGGTGACGGTCGAAATTTATTTTCAAAAGTAAGCAAGAGTTCCACTTTATTACTTCTCATACATATATATATATATGTATATATACGTTTTTCAGTAATTAACGTTTAAATTTTGGATAATATGTACTTAAAACGGGGGCTACGTTTAATTATGTAAGTATATATTTATAATTCATTTCCTCAATTTACTTATATTTATATATATATAACTCATGAATGTATATAATATGTGTAATTTACACACACACACACACATATATATATATATATATATAATGTAGCCTAGTAAAAATAAATAATTGAAATTACATAGTGAGTATAATAAATTATTCGTGGATTATAAATAAATAAATAAATAACAATGAAATAGTTATGAATATTTCGTTTTTATGGACCGGTGTATGGCTGCGGTCACTTCGTCTCTCTCCAATCAAATTTTGTTAATATAAATAAAGCCGCTTTCTCTTACCATTACCAATCTCAGTCCAACTTACAGAGTGTATATACATGTATATGTACATAGAAAAGTAAGAAAGCTTCTATTAATACTCCATATAAATAAAGAATATATTAATCTTCCCTAGTCCAAACTCGAGAAGTTTCAATATTCCACCACCATAATTTTCTCTATAATTTCTTGAAATTTCTTCATTATGTTAACACTATATTTATATATCTTCTGATTTCTTAAAATTTCTTGAAAGTTCAAACACTGTAAATCACTACTTTTTCCATGGAGGTCGACATACAAATTCCTCAGTTCTTTATCTGCCCAATATCTCTGCAAATCATGAGAGACCCGGTGACGACGGTGACTGGCATCACCTACGACCGAGAAAGCATCGAGAAGTGGCTACTCACGGCCGGTGAAAACCCATTATGTCCGGTCACAAACCAGCCATTAGCCAAAGACTCCGATCTAACACCGAACCACACCTTGCGCCGGCTGATCCAATCATGGTGTGCTGACAACGCATCGTACGGCGTTGACAGGATCCCCACCCCAAAGCCCCCGCTCGACAAGTTCCGTGTTATGAAGATGATGAGAGATCTCGATCATCCTCACTTGAAAACCCAAGTTTTAATGCAGTTAGAAATCCTCGCCACCGACAATGATCGGAACCGTAAGTACATGGTCGAGGCTGGTTTGCCAAAAGCCATGTTAATGTTTCTTACCACATGTTTCAACAAGCGAAAAATCGATCGTGGTTTAGAAGAAGCTTTAAATATTCTTCGTTTGATCCGAACTCCATCGTCGGAACTCCTGGAAAACAATCAAATGATTGAATCTTTAACGTGGGTTTTAGGGTATGATGAAGAAAATCAAAATCAAACCTTCATGGTCAAATCCTACGCAGGGATGATTTTAAAAACCATAATCAAAACAGCTAATTCTCACTTTCTCGAGAGACTAAAACCCGAATTCTTCCAAACCCTAGTCGGCGTTTTAAGAACAGCTCGTAAAAACAACGTAAGTTACCAAGTTGGGAATATCAACACAGTTTTGAACATCTTACTAAACGTTTGTTCGTGGGGAAGAAATCGGGTTATGATGGTTCAATCCGGCGCCGTTTTTGAGCTGGTGGAGATGGAATTAGACTCGCCGTTAGATAGAGAAACAACGGAGCTGATACTGGGGATATTATTTCATCTTTGTTCTTGCGCGGAGGGACGAGCTGAGTTCCTCAGCCACAGTGGTGGGATTGCGGTTGTTTCAAAGAGGATCATGAAGGTTTCAGAAACGGCAGATTATCGTGCCGTTTTGATATTGTCGTTGATCGGTAAGGCGTCGAGTGGATCGAGCATTGTTATCGGGGAAATGTTGAGGGTTGGTGCAGTGTCAAAGCTTTTCATGATTCTTCAGGGTGACTCTGCTGGATATTTGAAGAAGAAGGCTAGGGAAATACTTAGATTACACTCTGATGAGTGGAAGAAATCTCCTTGCTTTGATGCTTCTCTGTTAATAAGGTGCGGTGTAAGCACCAGGTGAGAGTTATATATACATATACATATATATATGTATTGATTAAACAAAATTTTCAATTATATATGCTTATGTGCTCATAGTTTTCTCTCTTTTCCTTAATAAAAGTTATATCTCCTTAGATACTCAAATTTGAGAGCTATGTTGCCTTCTATTTAAACATGAACCCTGTGACCTATATATGTGTATGTGCTATATATATCAAAAGAGAAAACGTATGTTTGATCTGAAAAGAAGAAGAAGAAGAAGACTTGATTGTTTTAGCTTATTGCAAATGTGTATTCATTAGATGTTAGAAGATCCCACGAACATAATCATACATTTTAATTTTTTTAATCTATAGTGACTATTTCACTTAAAAATAATATATTTCTTTCTCTCGTATGTATATATATATACATATCTATATAATTGAAATATCTAATAATCACTCCAAATATTATCTTAAGATATAATCTTAGGTAAATTTTATTTAGGGCAACCTTGCGGTTGCTTCTTCAAGTATGCATGTATCTACTATAAAAGAACATAGTGTATGTATGTGTGTACATATATATATAGAGAGAGAGAGAGAGAGAGAGAAGATTGTGGTCTGGGTATACTGTTTTTCTCCTAAGGTTTTGTTATTGATCATTAAAAAAAAAAAAAATTAGCTAAAGAAGAATAAAATTCTATTTGTACTAAAAGTTAATACATTCTTAACATTACATTTTTTTTTTTGGGTTACAATTCATATCTCAATTTACAAAATTTATTTCTATTTCGAGTACATACAACTTTATATACATAAGTAAAATATAAATAAATTTTAATAATTTTATTAAAAACTCGTTAAAAAAAAAACCCGGTTTTGAAAAATATATATAAATTGATATATACATTGTAATAAATTGGTGAATTATCCCAATATATATATATATATATAATATTGTCTCGACTTATACTAACATATTAACATAGTTTGATTTTGGGCTGGGAGATTATGTGGGCTCGCTAATTCCAACTGTCACATTTTTCATGGGCTGGGCCTTTTTAATTTCATTCCTAAAATTAAGAGCCCACGAACCATATGCCAAAATTTAAAAAAAAAAGTCAACGTTTCTAACAACGAAGAATATTCAACTCCGTTATTTTATATTTTTCTTAATTTTAATTCTTCGGTTGTTAAAAGTCTAATGCTTTCACATACTGTACAATCCAACCGAACGTTAATTCTAACACGTGAAAATTGTGCGTAATTAATTTTTTAATTAAACGGATTAAGCCTACAACCGTCATCAGTCATTATTAATTACTATGTTTACAACCAAATACACATGTAATTCCTTTTCTTAATCAAATCTCTTAAATCAATCCCACCCACCTAATCAAACTAATTAACTTAATTAATTGTACCACGTGGCAAATACTTAAACGATTAATTGTTTTTAATTACTAACACTTTTACCCAACATAAGTTCATAAATTATCTATTTTGTAATAATTATAACATGGCTTCTAACTTTCAACTTCATAATTATAACGTAACTTTAATTATTATGAAAATATTTAAGTGAATCATAACCCATATATTAAATTAATAATTTATTTAATTTGGCTATATATAATTACTTATAAGATAAGTTAAATTAAATAGTGATTTAATTCCATGAACTTCTTTTTTTTTTTTTTCTAATTTTCTTTATTGAGTTTGAGTGTAGAAAGTGAAATATTGCACCTGTGCACCTAAGTACGCACTACGGCCAATAATAGTAGACAAAGAGAGAACCGTTTACTTTGACTTTTTTTTTTCTTGGACCGTTGACTTTGATTCTTTGACTGAATTATAAAGATGGGCAAAAACTAACAGCGAGGTTCTCTTTTATATATATATATATATATGTATAATTCATATATTTTCTTTTTTCTCTTTTTGAAAATTCAGAGTCTACAATAATTTATTATTCCTCTCAATTTTTTGGTACAGCTCTCAACTATAATTCCATAATTATTAAAAACCTTTAAATTTTAAATTTAAATTTTATATATAAAAAATTGAAAGCTTTATATATATATATATATGTATAATGTAGCTTAAATAATTTTATTTTTATTTAGTGAATTTCAATTACTCAAATTTAAATTCTATTTTTATTTAGTTTTAAAAAAGTTAATTTAATAAATTAAAATTGACTATTAAAAGCACGTGCATTTACTTCACTATAAGCTTTATAATATGACGTGTTGTATGGATATATATGTTATGGATTAGCATGGCGGCTTTTCAAGTTACTGGCGTAATTGCATACATACATAACAAATATATATATATATATTTAAAAAATATTAGAATAAAAGTATTGTAAAAATCTGGAGGGATGTTATAAAATTTTTAAATATTGGTATATGTATATTGACTGTGTCATGATGTATGATGTATGATGTATGATGTATGATGCATGATGAAGGGATATTTTGGATAAGCATGGGAGAGATAATGAGCATTGAGATAAGATTATAATGTGTAATCAACACCGTGACATGCATGAAAGACATGTCAATCATGATAAACTGTTTGCTAAATTTCTTTATAATTTTATTTTGAATTAGTAAACACCCACTCAAACTGTTTTTTTTTTTTTAATTAAAATTCATTAATTAATTAGAACCTAATCATAATTAAGGAAAATATTAACTATATCGTGTATTAGTTACCTATTTTAGCTTTGACAAATTAAAACTTTGGAATTGGTTTAGCCGTAATTTGCAAAATTTGCTTATTGCATGACTTAATCAAAGTTATTATAAATCCAAAGGCGATAAGGTCAACCACGATGTAAATTTTATACTTACACTTTGTCTTACCATACATTTGATAAACTCAATTAAAAAATTATTATAATAATTTATCGATTTAATTAATCACTAGTGCCAATTTTTAAACCAAAAAAATAAATAAATAATTGAATCCGGATCCTCTTAACTCTCTCCATTTATTTACTAAAAGAGAATAGAAAATAGAGCTTACGTTCGTTTCGTATTCATAAACAGGTAAAAAAAAAACTGCACCACTGACCTTCATCTCTAAATCCCTAAGCTCGTGAGAAAATATACTTATTTTGAATGCTTTATCTAACTCGTCTTTGGATTCATATGTTTATGTTATGGCTAATCAATGTTTACGTGACTTCAGATTGTGGAATTATTTAATAAGGTGAGGATGGCAAGGTGTTAGTTTTACATCATTATATTATATATTTTAAAATATTATTATAATAGAATTAGTAAATCTTAAATTTCACTAATAGAGATTTAAGTGTTAAATTTATAAAGATTTTATCTATTATGTAAAAAAAAATATATGATAAATATTGAACCTAATTTATAAAAAATTCACGATTATTTTTTTTACCGTAATTTATGTATTTAAAAACGGTTTACTTTACTGAAAAATTCAAATTAAAAAATTCAAATCAATATTTATTTTTTTACTCGTCTTCTCTGAATTCAACATTATTTATCTTTTAAAGTTTTAATAGAATCGATCCAAAAAACAAATATTTGAATGAACCTTTCTCAAATTTGAAAGTTTATGTTTGATGGGTCAAAAATATTGGACCAAAACAACTTTGAGATTCAACCTTCGTACCTTAAATTTCTTCAATATTAGTTTTTTTTTTTTTTTTTTTTTTGTATTGAAAAATTCCATGTATCAAGACATTGGGTCAGATAAAACCAAAATAAATTAATAAAAAGAAAAATAAAAAGTATGTATATATATATATATATATATGTATGTATGTATGTAAATGGGTCAAAATATGAAGGCAGAGTAGATAGTAAGTAAAACCAGAGGAGTGAAGGAAGGAAGGAAGGAAGGAAGGTAAAAAAGCAGCAGCGAAGAAAATGCGGCTTTTTAAAAAATTGTCGCGTGGGTCCCACATTTCCAGTCATATAGCATTTGTCGGCGTCAACGCACAACACACAAAACACACACACAGAGAAAAATAATTCAAGCACGAGGTAGAGAGAGAAAATTCGCAGACAAAATTATTATTATTTTTGTCAAAATTGGTAGAGAGAGAAAGTCAAAGGACAAAGATTACCGCATGTGTTTTTTTTTTTTTGTTTATCGGATAAAATAGTGTTAGATTTTAGTACGTGTATATATATATAGATATATACATTATTATATAGTTTTATTTGTTATATCAAATTAAATTTTGTGTTTTTTTTTTATCTTTATATTATAAAAATATTACACGGTAATTTTTTTTTATTTGTGTAATCTTGAATCCCCACATTTTCTATAAAAAAAAAATTGTTAGTGTTATTAAAAAGCAATAAATTTATATAATGTGATGAAAATAATAAAATTATACGGTGTTAATGAAGATTAAAAAGGGTCATCTTTTAAATAGTTAATTTAAATTAATTTAGCTTTTTGTGTTTTATTTATAAATTAATTAAATGATTCTGTAGAAATAGCTTTCTCATTAAATAAATAATAAAAAGTCCTTAATTAAGAACAATTATTTATTAATTTAATTGAAATTTATGTCAAAACTATAAAAATTCACCCAATAAAAATATTAAAATATTTGAAGAATAAAATAATTGGATTAAAATAAAAATGTCAAAAGAGTTGTTTTTTTTTTTCTAAAAGAAGAAAATTAATTGCACATTAAGTACGATGAACGTGGATGGGTGCAATTTGCAGCCACCACCGTCGATCCGTGACCCGGTAAATTTAGCCGCTCCGGAGCCATTCAATTTTCTCGAGAAAAAAAAAAAAATGGCTTAGAAAAGTCGTACACCCCCCCCTCCCCCTCTCTTGGCTGTCTCCTAATAAATCATGCTATACTCTTCGTTGTATTCTGCGTGTTTTGACTTTCCGAAATTTGAATATTTAATAATTGCGAGTATCCTTGTTCAATATTAATCCATATATATATATATATAACACCACATCTCTCTTCTGCTCCTCAAAAATCAAACCTGTTCATAACTACCTCCTATAAGATTCGCTTAGCTAATCTTCTTTTTCGATCAACTGTAAAACTTGTTTGGATTCTCAGATTTCAGATTTCTGGGTCTTGTCTCTTTTGTGGATTTCTCATCTGTGTCTCTCTTCAATTTCTTCTTCTGAAATTATTATGGATCAAGATATTGATGTTCCTCCGTTCTTCATCTGCCCAATCTCGCTGGAGATCATGAAGGATCCAGTGACGATTCCGACGGGGATAACGTACGACCGAGAGAGCATCGAGAAATGGTTGTTTTCCGGCAAGAAAACGACGTCGTGTCCGGTGACGAAACAAATCCTCCACGATAAATTTGACCTAACACCAAACCACACTCTCCGTCGGCTGATCCAGTCATGGTGCACGCTCAACGCCGCGCACGGCATCGAAAGGATTCCCACGCCCAAGCCCCCGATCAACAAAGCTCAGATCGCCAAGCTCATCGCCGGCGCCAAGTCGCAGACACAGCAGATAAAGTGTCTGAGAAAGCTACGTGAAATTGCTGCTGAGAATGTCACCAACAAACGTTGCATTGAATCTGCCGGAGCTGTTGATTTCCTCGCCTCACTCGTGAGTTCTTATGAAGAATCTGTAGATGATCATGATCATGACGAGTTTGAATCAGCCCGTGTGATCGACGAGGCCCTGAGTTTACTCTACAATCTCCAAATCTCCGAGTCAGAACTCAAGAGTTCGTTAGGGAAGGACGATAAGTTCACAGCGTCTTTAACTCGAATCATGCAACGAGGAAGCTATGAATCCCGGGCTTACTCAGTGCTATTATTGAAATCAATCCTCGAACTCGCCGACCCGCTTCAGCTCATCACGTTAAAACCCGAAATCTTCATCGAAACAGTCCAAGTTTTAAACGATCAGATCTCGCCCCAGGCCACAAAGGCCACACTGCAACTTTTAATTAACATCTGTCCATGGGGACGAAACAGGATCAAGGCAGTGGAAGCTGGAGCAGTACCAGTCTTGATCGAGCTCCTTCTCGACTCACCTGAGCGAAGACCTTGCGAGATGATACTCATGGTGTTAGATATCTTATGCGGGTGTGCAGAAGGAAGAGCGGAGTTTCTAAAACACGGCGCGGCTCTCGCCATTGTAGCAAAGAAAATACTGAGAGTCTCGCAGGTGGCGAGCGAGCGGGCACTGAAGATTTTACTTTCGATTTCAAAGTTGTGCGCGACGCCGGCGGTGCTCCAAGAGATGTTGCAGCTGGGGGTGGTGGCGAAGCTGTGCTTGATGGTGCAAGTGGATTGTGGAATTAAGGCGAAGGAAAGAGCTAGAGACATGCTTAAGTTGCATGCTCGGACATGGAAGAATTCTCCATGTTTACCACCCAATATGGTTTTGTCCTATCCAGCTTAATGAAGATGGAGAAGATGATCTGATCGAGTTAACCTTTTTGTTTGATTTTTGGTGGTAAATCAAATATCTTTTTCAACTGTTTGTGTATATAATTAGATTCTTCTAGAGATATTGTTGCAAAGACAAAAGTTTGAGTTACATAGGAGTATACAAATATTGCATAGGTTGGGGAAAATCCACCAATCATCATCTTTCTTTTTAGGAAAATCGAGAATTTAACAATTCAATACGATAAAAATTTTATCCATCTATCAGAAATGGAATGATATATCTTTTTTTATGTAAAATTATTGATATATATATAAACATCGATCATAATACAATAAAATTATAACTTTTAAATAAAAATATATAAAAGTATAAAATTTGACTTTAATTTATAATTTTTTAAAGAAAAATTTGAAATACCAACCATTCAATTAAGTTAAGTAATATAATAAAATTTTATAGATATTGAAATAATATATACATATATATGTATTTACTTACATGTATGAATTATTGAAAAAATTTAAGTAGTTGTTAAATGTAGATCCTTATTTCTTTCAAAATATTATACTTTCGTTTTACACACACTTTGATTTTTTTTTATAGCAATAATTAAGAAAAAAAAATTTATAAGTATTTTTTTGTTGAATGGTAGGCATTTTTGTTTTTTAATTCTAGATTTTACGTTTTTTTAAAATTATTATTAAAAGATTGTGATGTGTACTTATTTTTATATATGAATTTTTAATTGAAAATAAGATATGAATGAAGCTATTATTATAAGATATATATAAATTTTTAATATTTATGACGAGCATATATTATTTCATAAGACGTGGACCCGAGAATTTATATATGTTTGAATGATGAAATCGTTAAAATTTTTTATTTTCTTTTAAAAATAATTAAAGACTTAGCAAGTTAATAATTTTCTAGAATAATAATTTTAATATAATAAGGAAAATAGCCAGACTATATTATAAACATATATCAAGTCAATATGATGTGTTATTTTTAAAATACTTATAGCTTGATTGAGAAATCAGTATAATCTATATATATATATATATGAGTGTATAAGCTGTAGAACTATATCATTATATATGCAAATCGAGTCATTAATTTTTTATTATTAAATTTAAAATTATTTTGTTATATATATATATATGTATGTAAAAGGAGTAAAATCATTTAATAGGGTCAGAAAACATAAAAAGGATATGCATTAATGTATGACAAAAACGGTGGATGGATAAGTGTGAAACGACGGCCGAGAGAAGCTAACTCCAGCATCAATCACGAGTTGGGCTTTTTTATGAACTGCGGTATTCGTTGACAAATATTTAATATTTAATGCTAATTAACTTTTAATTTTGTCTAATAAAAATTTATTACCTTGCCGTCGGCATTAAATTTATGATTTTTAAATAAATTAGTGTCTTCTTGTTTGTACGTAAAGCTAGTTTTTATACGTGTACTTTTTTTTTTAAAAAAACTTATTGAAATATATAGTAAATATATTTATTTTCAAATTTTTGAAATAGATCTAAATTATATAAAAAAAATTTCAGTAAAAATAATAAAAATTATGTATTTATTGAATATAAATAATATAAGTTCATTATAATTATATACATGTATATTTTTTATTATTAATCCATAAAGTTTTATTCTGTACGAGTTGAAATAATATTTATTATAAATTTAAATACAAAGTTTTTTATTTCGCAGCACGTGGTATGAGGCCGTCCCGCCCGTATATCTCGCCGCCCGATCACGACCATCTTCTAATGTATCGTTTAAAACCGACGGCCATACGGCGTCGTCTTTGTCAAATGTCCCAATTTCCCTACTTGCCACGTGACTTACGCTGGTTGGTCAAATTTTTCATGGGGCCCACACAACGAGCTAAACGGCCGACTGCTCTATCTCCGTCGATCCATTTAACTAATGACAGAAGTAATTACTTAATTATGCAGAGGAGCTTCGTGCGTGCGAATGTTAGATTACAGTTACTTTGTGTATTAATTATTGCTAATTAATTATGAATTTTCAAAGGGTATATTTGGTCAAACTTGTTGACTTAATTAATTAATTAATTAGAATAGTCTAATTTCTTGGATCATGGGCGTTTACACGATCATGTGGTGCGCCAAGTCCGACGTAATTAATAAAAGTAGCTAACTTCACCTGACACCCACAGTATTATATTTAAAACACTATTTTCAAGAACCGAATTTTCTTAATTATTTTTTTTAAATTTTTTTACCCACAAAAAATTGTATATTATTATTATTATTAGGTCAAAATAAAATTTTTAATTAGAATTATTAATTAATTTGAATTTTCTATTAATTAAAAAAATGGTAACAGATGAATTTTAATTATAAAAATTTTATTTATTATTTTAAAAAAGTAAAAGATGAATCTCAATTATAAAAATTATTGATATCACATAAAATAGCGATAAATGTTAAATTTAATCTTATAAGGAGTTCGTGATTATTATTATTTTTTTGTAATTTGTTTATTTTAAAAATTATATAATTAATTAAAAATTCATATAAAAAAATTTATATTAATATCTAATTCGTCTTATCTCGTATGAATTTATTCTTATTTTATTGTTCTTGAGTTCCAACATATATATATATATATATATATATATATAAGGTTATACAATTTGTAAATAATCATTTACAAATTAATAAGATAAAAAGCTCATGCGTCAAAATTCAGATGCATTGTTAACAGCAATTGCGGTAACACCAGTTCTTCTGATTTGTCTTTCAACTTTATTTTTCAAATTGTGTGTGTTCGTGTGTGTATATATACATATATATATATATATATTCATCTGTCAACTCTGATATACTCGAATGTGCGTGTGTATGTACACATGTTTATGTATTCATGCACACAATGTTGCAGGGAGTATGTATACATTACGTTGATGGATGGGATGCATGCATGCTCGTTGGGACGACTGAGTTTAAGCTATATGTATAGGCGTGTGTTTTTCTGTATATTTTGTTTTCCGAAAGGAAAAAAAAAAGCGCTCTATATATTAGATGATAGCAAATGAAACAAATATTCTTTTCCGATACTTCCTCTTCCTGAAATGATGATATATATAGACGAATATATATGTACGTGTAAGTATCTTAGAATCTCATCATTGCTTGTAAAAGCAAGATTTATTAGCAGAGATGCTTAGCCAGAAATGCTTGAATCGCCACTTTATACATATATATAGTTCAGTATATATATTCGTCTATAAAGATGATATACATTAAGCTTCACGGACAAGAACTGCAAAATAAGCAAATCGAGTTGAACGAAACTCTTGATTTTATATATAAAGTAATATATATGTATATCGTATATAATCATGCATTGTTGTAATTTATCATGTAGTGATATACCTCTTTGAGAGATATTCATATATATATATATATATATTATTTGATAGGAACATATTGTGATTCTATACATTGCTATATATATAAAAGAAATTAAAAAGGACAAAAAAAAGATACAAGGAAAATAAAGCAATTAAATCACAAACTTCTGGAGAAGGCATAATCAATAGACAAATCAAATGAGCTCCAATTACCAAACAACAGATTCGGGTCCTGTCCTTGATCGGGTCCCAGCACCGGGTCTTGTCCTGCTAATTGGATCCCATGATCATTCTCCATTATCACATGAGAGGAGTTTGGCCATGAAGCTGCTGCACCTTCACCTGGCAATGGCGGCAACCCATAATCATGTCTAGATCTCTCATGGCTGCTACACTCATGGTTCTGAACCGGGTCGAATCCAGATGAACAGACCATAGGGTCGGCAGATAAATCAGAGTAATTCAGACGTTCAAGAACTCTATTTTCTTGGTTCAATCCAGAACTACTCGCGTCCACATATGGAAACCCTAGAGAACTCGGAATACCAAACTCACTAGCTGGCAATTCCGCCACCTCGATCATTCCAGACTTAGAATCCGCCGCCGGCTCCGGCGGCCGTTGATTCAAGAAGTTGGCATAAACAAGGGCAAGATCAATATGTGACCCATCCGCCATAACCGAACTGGAATCAGCTAAAGAATCCATTTTTTGAACTGGGTCATTGTCATTACCCCTGTAACCCAGATGGGTAGAAGTAGTATTACTACCACTGTTCTTGGAGATGATCAAGACGCCATGATCAGAGTTTGAAAGCCTAGAAGAAGATTTTGCTCTCCTGCTCTTGCGGCAACCACCACCAACAGGAACATTCCTCAGAGACCCACCCTTAGTCCAGTACCTTCTACAGCCCTTGCAGAAGTACCTTGGCTGAGTTAAGCTGTAGTTGTTGTAGTAGCAGAACTTGGTGTTGGAAGATCCACAGCGAGGACAGCTGGGTGAGATGTGATGATGACGGTGATGATCATGATGAATCCACCCAGCTCTATCCATCACTCATGACGGAAACTCAAAGGTCTGATCATCACAACGTCAATCATCAGTTAATAAGAGGAAAAAATGAAAGAGGGTGTGTGTGTGTATATAAGAGATGTATTGGAAATGCGTAGATGAGTGTGTGGAAAGGCAAGTGCAATGGCGTCAAGGACGATGAGAAGTACGTGGGTGGGAGGAAAGCAGGCAGGCCCGGAGGCTGATAGGGAGTGTCGGTGTTGGGGTTGACGTGGCAAGTTCAGATTGGCTAGAAGAGGAAGGGGTAGGAAGCAAATGCCTCGTGCGGGTCAACCAGGTTTCTTCCAGGAGCAGACAGAGAAGAAGAGATGATAGATGAGGAAAATCTATATATATATTATCAGACGTATAAATAAAGAAGCTTTTTAAAATGGGTTTAGCAAGTGTGAAGTGGTAAGGGAATGTCTACACGATCAGGGCGATCACGAATAATAAAATGTTATGGGAGGTGGAGATCTCTGGGATCATGAGCTTCTTGGATCATGAAATTTTTGGAGATTCTGCTGCAAATGCCAAAGAATGTTAGGTAACGTTTGTTTCATGTCAATTACCATCTGATTGCGTAAGCTAGCTCCGGCAGAAAGAGAAAAAAATCTCAGAATGAAAAAACAAAAAATCCACGAGATTGCATGCCTTTAAAGGGGGCGACCAAACGTGCCCTTAAAAGCTCTCCTTGACTTGGGATATCTTTTTATACAGAACTGAGATGATGGTCACAAAGAATCATTATTTCTCTCCACCCATGTTGTCGGAGTTTTTATAATTTGAGAGTAAACTAAAAGGAATATCTATGAATTTTAAGTTTTTAATTATACAATTAAATTCATTATTTTAAAATAATTACAATCTAACTTCTCTTGAATTTTTTACTTAAAGTTGAAAGAACAATTTGGATTAATCAAAAATTTCAAAACTTTTTTTCTTAATTTTGGTCAAATTCTTTTATTCCTTCTTCAACCTTGTGAAAATTTATAATAGACCTAAATACAGTATAGTCTAAACTTGAAAAACTCTGCTACCAGTCTCACCAAGATACTAGAATTCAAGCAACGTGTGAAGACAGATTCTTTTTCTTAAATTGAAAAGCACACAATTTTTTTTGGGTTAGTCTTCTGATTAGATCCGCAACTTCTTACTTTCGAAAGTTATAATCTTGCGGCTCACGCTCCCACGACGAGAGATAGTAGAACATGTGTCTACATCCTAACTTAGGACAACATACCATCGGCTGAAAATCCAAATCTAGCCGCAAGGTATTATTTCAACTACTAGATGCTACAAGGGGTTAGAAATTTTCTGTATTGCGAGCAACTTCAGAACCATCTGACGCCCTACCATAAATAATACAGCAGGTGAATGTACATATTTATACAAAATTTAGTGGAGATAGAACCGGATGAAAACTGACTGGAGCGAGGAAGGTTTTCCCCAATAATGAATGTTCCATGTTCTACAACAAATTACATGAGCAAAGCCCAGATGTTGAAAGCAGTTCCCACGGTAGATTTACAGTTGTAAGTTCCAAACATCTTGCTATAGCTGGCCCAACCTTTCCTGTTCAGACAAAACAAAGAACCAAATTTTAGACTAAACATGTTTAACTAGATAGTCGTTGTATAAGATGATAACACCATCTGTCTAAATATAAAAATCAAAAGGAAAAAATTATGTCTACGCCAGACAGATCACAGCCAAACAGGGCAGTAATCACTCTTCAGCATGGCCAAGGATGTTGCATTTGTTTGTGATTCAAATCGTAAAAGATTCTTCTGAACTAGAGGTAGAGTGATGAAACAGAATAAAAACAGCATTAGCAGGTAAAGAACGCTAGGTTCAGTGTCTACAGTATATAGTATAAGCATTCCTAATAATGCCTTAAAAGAATCTCAAAACTTCTGATAGGAGTATTAAGAGTGAACTGGTAACGTGAAGCATCTGCATTAATTTTGGATGCTGCTCCAAAAGCTGGCATAGTTTATCTCGATCGCTCAGTAATGACTGCCACAAATGCAGCAGGATAGTAAAAAAAATTTAGAATGAATTAAGGCAAATATTGGCCAAATGGATGTCCAAAAAATTTTGATACTTGTACATCACAAACCTGAATAGCTTCTGGAGACTTGAAGAACTCATGTAATGACATTCCTGAATCCTGTTGTAGCTGGGATATTCCACCCCCTTGCTGTTGTGGAACTTGTGGATGAGCAGGTTCAACCTGCAGCTGTTGCGGTGCCTGCGAGAATTCCTGCTGCTGGGATTGGTAATAAGTTTGAATTGAGGAAACTTGTGGTGGTTGCAGCATTTGCAATGGATGAATTTGCATTTGTACATGGTTTTGTAGGGAAATCCCTTGGTCTATTGGTTGAGACGTTTTTATGGGTGGCCTAATATGCTGAGGTGGCTGCAGAGGTCTTTGAAGCTGTGGAAGCTGCATGGATTGCAAGTGTGATTGGGAATGTATTTGTTGAAGGGATGATGGAGGTATTGAGAGATTCTGCAAAATATTAGGTGGGTGCTCGCCCTGCTGCTGAGATTGAGTGCTTCCAAAGAAGGGCACAGGCATGGAAGCCGGCCGATTGAAAACCAATGATGGCATAAGGGGAGGCGGTGGACAAGAAGTCATCCCAGCACCTGATCCAGAAAGATTACCTAATTGAGAATCAATTGGCACGGTAGAGCTTTGGGGAAGCTCGCCTGTTCCTGCACTAGTTTGATTGTATGCTAAAGATTGGGAGCTACAAGCTCTTGACTGTACTAAATTATATGCACTAGACGAGAATGGAGGTGGTGTTGAGGGAAGCGGTGGAGGAGGCCATATAGATCCACCAGGAGAAGAGATAGAGGGCCTTGGAAACTTGGGGTCTGGCATAGGAAGGGAAGACGGTAGTAAACTAGGACTATTATTGAATGCAGAAGGATAATCAGAATGGACCTGCAAAAAAGCAAGTTCGAGCAATTAGAAAAATTGCATAGTTAACTTGCAGAAAAAAACCCGCCTTGCAACTAATATACTGTAAGTAAAGGATTATCTTCTATTACTTGGAAAGCTGCTGGAACAGACACCTGCATGTCTGTTCCTGGATTAGGAAATGCAGACGACTGATTGGCAATAGACTCTGGAGTGTGAGAAATTATGGGTGAAATCGATGATGGAGGCGGCATTGGAGGTAATGGAGGTTGATTAGGAAGAGCTTTCTGGTCATAAATTCTCCGAGAACTGAGAACAACATGACCATTCCCAGTATGTTGCGGACTATTTTTTGGAAAGTAATTTTGTGGAATTCCCCTAGAATCACCAGGCACTTGTATTGATGATGCTGGTACATTACTGTAAATGGGAGTAGAAAACCCAGTACTGTTTGCTGTGAGAGCAGAATCAGGCCCACTTGAGTTCTTAACAGGCACAACTTTCTTGAAATCTTCAGATTGCTCAAAATAGTTCTTATCTGAAGAAACGCTTGGCTCTCGAGTCAATAGCATGTCAGGGCGTGAGATTGACATTCTTGAAGAAAACTCACTCTGGGTGTTTTCGTCAACATTAGATGCCGAGGGCGTACCTATATGAGAAAATTGTCCACTTTCATTAATGTCACTCTCTGTCTCTTCAACAATTGAATGAGGAGAATTTTGTTCAGCCATGAGAGGAGCAGGCTGCTGCAAATTATCATCTGGCTGAGGAAAAGGTAGCTTGTCATCAGATTCAGACTCCTCGCCATCAAATACTATGTCAATTCCCTGAAGATCATCATCGAGATCTGTTTTCAACTGCTTAGATTTGCTGACCTTTTCCATATCTCTATCATTTGCAGGAGTTGCATCCTTCAACAGTGCTGCTACCTCCCCAACTACCATTGCAGAAGAACTCTGCCGCTCCCTTTGCCTGGCCATAAATTCATCAACATGAATTGATGGAGGTCTCCCGCTAGTCGACCCTACACGTGGAACCGTTATGGCATTAGAAGCAACACCACCATCAGCACTCCTCTCTCTTGCAACATAGTCATCCACATGCATAGATGGGGGCCTGCTGGTATTAGGCTTCCTTTGCCGAAACGTATCCCTACGAGTAGGACCAGATGGGGTGGTAGATGGACCTAAACCCCGTGAAATTGAATTCTGGGTTGAGATCTCTGCCGGCGAGTTGTCTCCTCTACCCCGTCGGTTTGAGCCTTCCGCTGGCGGCATTTTTCTTTTTATAGGAAGAGTTGTCTGTGATAATCTCTCAGGTAATGTTTCTGGACATTCCCAACAAAACTTACCTCCAGTACTCCTAGATAAAGATCACTGTTAGCATGCTCAGCAGAGACATGGGCCGTTGAAAGAATCTTTGGAGTGGTCAAAAATTTTTCAGTGGAAACAATATCATCCACCTTATTTGCATCAGTAGGCTTTTCCAGCAACAAAAGTAATGACTTCGCTAGCTCTAAAGCCTATGCATCAACAAAATGTCAGCTTCCAGAAACAGTCCACAAAAAGAAAATAAAACCCAACATACGAACAAACACAAACAACAAAGAACAAATAATTCTCAATAGTTTTACCTGGTGCAAAGTGGTATTCATATAAGAATTAGCTGAATAGTCATCATAACTGATCTTTGCACTCAACAAAGGAATCAATTCTTGTATGCAATTTATTCTTTCTTCAGGAAAGGCGTCTGTCCCATCTATATCATTAGGAAGACCAAAAAGATATTTCAATGTGGAGATCCTGTTCAGGTCCAAACTGGTGAACAAGCAAACTATATGTTAACCAGTTGTCAGTTGTCTAAAGAAATTGACAAATGAAAAGCACCATTCTGATAGACTGTGACTAAAACTTTTGCCTCAATCAATATCAATTAAAAGGGAAGGGGAGCGTAGAAAATAAAAAGACCTAAAAATAAACCCAGTCCTCCCATTTGGAAAAAATCAAAAGCTATTTTGCAACCTTACCAGCTTCAGCTCGGTCTAGCTCTGTAGTATGTCCACCAACTAATCATCTAACCAAACTATGTCTATGCCCATAACTATGATATTATTAGAAACATTTTGCAACACCATCAAGATGCTCAAAAGCAATCAGCATAATTCCCCAAGATCATTGAAAATAATTATAACAAGCAGCAACCATGAACCTTATCTATCCGCACATGAGATAGCACAGAAATGTTAGAGCACACACCAATGGACGTGGTGAACTCACCTTTTACCATCCAGGCAAAAGTTCAAGGAACCTAAACACAAGGTATGTACAGCTTCAATTGCATAGCTTGACAATTCATTATTTGATTCAACTGATTTTAACAACTTCCTCCAGCAACAAAGCAAAGGGGGGTAGTTCTTCAATTCAAATTCATTAAGAAGATCTGAATTCCTATTGCTTTCATGATGTCTCTCTGGTTCGTGACGATCAGTGCTAGACTGCAGATGAACCAGAACAGACACTAAAGCATTTTTCCCTTCATTGAAGGAAACGAGTCCTTTTAAAGCTGTAAGACAAGAGAGTAACTCCTTTCCAACCGGTAGCACCTGTAAAATAAAATGCAATTCTCCGTTATTCTCCATTAAGCAATTAAAAAGGATAATCCTCCTTGTTTTCTTTGAATGAAGACTTTCACTATGACCTCTTCATATATTCGAATTTTAACACTTTATACCTTGTAATGCTACAGACATACTGACTTCTAGTAAATGCTATACATACATTGGTTAACAAACATAATCAAACACAACATGAAACACACAATTACCTGACAGAACTTCAGGAGATAAGGGGAAATCAATGAACAGTCTTCAGCACTCAAGTTGTCAAATTTGTGCCTAGTAAAATAATAATAATAAAACTTAGCATAACCACATTTGAATTCTCAACATGAAGGACAAAAGACAAATAACATAACAAAATATCTACTCACAACTCATGCCTCTGGCGGTACCGTAGGGATGGTTGAGAATTACATAATAGTGATACTGACTTGAACACTGGGACAAACCAACTAGACAAACTAAACTCATTTTTAGTAGAATTTCTATCCTCTGTATTTTGCTTTCCTTTAGTATCAGTAACATCAAAGCACCTCTTCAGCACTCCCATAAACATCTGAACCACACCTTCCTCCAACAATAGCAACTGATATAGTAAGAGAAATTTCATAAGTGATTAATAAACCAGGCAAAGAAAAAAAAAATTTCTGTATGCAGAGGTAATAACAAACTTTGGCACGTGGATGCTCCAATAAGCTGGCAAGAAAGTCCAGTAAGCTATAAACCTGAAAGGGAAGAGAAAGACACACATTCAGTTCACCTGCTTATATCTTCTGCACAAGAATGTGACAAGGCCAGGAAATAGTCACCTTATAAGTATCCGTTTCTGATGAAGAATAATCAGACACATGATCTTGGACCCATAACAGCATTGGGCGTAGAAGCAAAGATGCATATTCAACTTTCTGGCAAGCAATGCGAATTATAAAAACTCGAAGCATGTCTTGAATGACCACAAGTGCCTGTTTAAAATATAATATCAGAAGATGCAAAATATAACAATCTTATACAAAAAGAGGATAGCAAGTTGATAAGCTTCCGTGCCCACCATTTCCTTAAAGTAAAAAATCTTGGACAAAACTAAAGATTACGATTAATGAGTTGGGAAAAGTAGCACATACAGATATAGAATAATGTTGGATTATCTGGGAAACTTTTTCAAGCTGCGGTGTCAACTGGCTAAGCAGCTTGTCAAGATGGCTAGGCTCCAGATACCAATTGATCTGTCTCTCCTTCCGAGGACCCAGTAATGTCCCGACAGCCAATGTTCTTAGCGCACTCAGCAAGGGCATGCTGTTCTTCCAAAGCCATACACCTTCTTCAGGAAATAAATCATTCTTGCAAGAAAAAGAATCATTCGAGTCAGATGGAATTCAAAGGGGCCCCAACATTTCTTATTTTTTAAGAAGAGTGCTGGAAAAAACAATCTTTCATATGCCAATTACAAAGAAAGATCCCAACATCGTAACCCTCTTCTTTCAACATGTTGAAATTAATCATCAAACAAGGTTTTTATTAGAAAAACCAGGGGTATTTATTTCAGAAATATAAGAATCAAGAGTCCAGTGAGAATTGATAGGAAACTCACATACCAGAAGGCAAAGGAAACTGCAAGTCTCCTTTGGGCCTAAAGACAGTAGAGATGTTGCGTGAACAGTGATAAGAAGGGAGTGAAAAAGGCTAGGAGTCCACCCATATATCGGCCAGAAAGCAAGTGCTGAAACAATAAGATGGCAAACAGCTCCAAAACCAAGAGCAGAATCAGGATAAGGTGAGGATAAGTCTGCTGCACAAGCAGCAAGCTTCGGGCTGCAAACACATTAAATATATTTTTCAATTAAAAGAGTTCGACCAAGTCCAACAGTAATAGATTATGAGATCAATCCTATTAAAAAGAGGGGAGAATTTTGATTACCTTACTTCTCGATGCAACCGTAAGAGTGCATTCATTAGTTTTGTATTTCTATGCTGCTCCTTAGTTTCCTATGACATTGGTGACAGAACAACTTTATTTTTCAAATAAAGCATCTAAAACCATAAGAAACATAAGAAAATTCCAATAAGCTCCTCCCACTTCCAATTTAGCCATATGATAGAGCATTTGAATACAAGACAATTTCATGACTTCTTTCCAACTAAGCCCCAATGATAAAGAAACCAAACAATACAAAATAAACTGAAATATAGTTTAACAAAAACTTCAAGTGACAATTGTTTATGGGGATTCTGCTCCCACGAAGCAGGTCTTTGAAGCAAAGAGAATTAGCATACAATTTTCAGCAGAAAAACACATCAGTATAGTATTGTACTCTCGCAGGAAAAAGAATAGATATTACAGCTTCTTTACAATATTAAGGAAGAAACTCTCCTGAGACGTTTCAGAAAGCACCAAATTCTTGCTGTACTAATAGTTTCTAGACTTAAGTGCCAAGGAGAACTGAAATTGTTAGAAAGGGAACAATTTCACTTGCCTGGATACTTAACTGAGGGAAGCGAAGAGAAGGAGAATTTCCAGCCTGCCATTTTTCTCAGGCCTATTTTCTTCTCTCAACAATGAAGAAATTTAGAGAAAACATGAAAGAGCAGAAAGGAGCTGTTACTAATGACTCTAAATTTCTTTCGTGCCACAAGATATCTTTTTTTCATCTTTAACAAAACTTCTCAAACTCTTAAATTGGAAACCTGAGTTCCAAATATACAGTTCTTTTTATTTTTTTAAAATATCCAAATAAGAGGAAAGAGATATGTTACCCTTCTCTCCTTGAATTTAATTCTTCTGTCTCAGTTCAAATTACCCAACAAACTATTAAAGAGAAGACTCTTTACTGTAAAAAGTAAGTAAAGAAATGATGTTATACCAGCCCAAATCAAATTCTATGAACAAAGCTGGTCGCCTTGCGTGACCTCCAACAATGGGCCGCAAATTAACTGATCCAAAAACACACTGCGTCGAGTAACGATGGAAATTTCACCAGTAAACCACAGATTTCAGACCATACTGCTCCATCAGGCGTGGTTGATTTAGTGCATATCAAAGTGGCTAAAAAAATTTCATTGTCAGCCAGATTCGGCTTCAACACTTGCCCCAGCCCACCATAATTACTTTTTTGAAATAGTTTTCTATATTGTTTAATTTTTCTAAACACTTATGACTTCCGAACTGAAGCTCTATCTGCTGTTTAGTCATGAGCTAGTAATAAACTTAATGCTGAATATTGTTAAAGTGACTTCATATATTGACTTATCATTTAATTAGCATGATAAGCTTCAGACATTGTATTGCTATAATAGTAGTTATGTGATGTTCAATCCTAAATTTAATAATAAATTTTGGCTATTTTGGTCAAGACAAGAGAAAAAGCTTTTGTAAAATTTTAGATGATGTCATTAAAAGCTTGTTATAGAAAGCAACTACAACGTTTGACAACTTATTGTTCGCAAAGTGTTGTTGAAGATATTGTATCAAATATTTTCTCATGACTTTGTAGGAATATCAATATTGTACTGCATCCAAAGAAAAAATCATTCTTTTGGAATACTAAATATATTTTTAAAGATTGCAAGTAAATTTTAGAAACTCATTAGTTGTTTTTTTTGCTTCATTGTGGATGCAGGTTTGTAGCTAGGAAAAGCAAGCAACATACTACATAAAAAAAAAAAGAGCAAGATTGAGATTTAAAAGAAAGAAACTCAAAAAGGACAGCCAAAGGTCTTGCGGAGAGAGTGTTGATTCAATATATTTCAAATAATAGCAAAAGATAAAAAAGACAAAAAAACTTAATCATCAAAAATCTCAAAGCTCTCACAATAGGTGCCTTAAGAATATCCTTAATCAAAAGCCACACGCATTGTACACGACAAATGACTCATCAAAAGCAGTGATCACGCAACCACTTATTCCGCATAACTGGAAAAGTAATGCCACCCAGACCTTCCAGACTTTTAGTGTGCACAAAATGCTTGCTGTATTCAGTTGATAAACTTATCAAAAATACATTTTGCTAATTAATTAGTTGTTCCTATTTCAGAGAAGGATCCATGTCTTAAATAGTTATATATCCACTAATTTCATCTGATCCTTTTTTGTTTTTTGAAAGATTCATCAGATCCAATACTACTAACCACGCACTACCAGAGTAAGAGACTTGATTCTGAAATGTAACAAACCTGTAATTTCTGTAAAAGAGAGATCAGCAGTACAAGAGAAGGAACCAACAAATCAACCAAGCTCTGCTCCCGGTTACGTTCTAAGAGAAAATCAGATATTGAACTGCATTCATGATCATCATCAACAAGGTAATCTGCTTAAGATGAACCATGTGTTAAAGATAAGGAGAGGAATGTCAAGACAGCAAGAAATTCAATTGAATAAGCTACATAGTCATCAGCTATATTTGAGCAAACTATTTCAAGCTGCTGAATTTCTTATAGCTACTTGGAGTAGCATCCAGAATATTTATCATTAATATCAGTATTTACAGTGCAAAAAATTATTCTTGAGGTAGTTTTATCTGCTTGGGTTGAGTGAAGAGTAAAGAGCATAAAGTGCTTTGCAGAGGGGCACTTTTTGCTCTTAATGGGTTTTTTGGCTGGAATAAAAGTGCCGGAAATTTCAAAAACGACGTGTCTATCCTACATCTGTTGATTGCAACAGAATGCTTTGTGTGACCTCTTTGTGGACTAATGTGAATGGCTTCTTTCAACGTTTGCCTTTGTCTATTAGGTAAAGGAATTGGGAGGCTGTCTTGCACTAAATTTGCTCCATTTTCCTCTTCTTATTCTTTTATCTTTTCCATCTTTTATGTGGGGATATCTTATTCTTTTCTATTTGTATGCTCTTCCTAATAATATATTTTCTTTAATTAAAAAAAAAAATCTAAAGGTGCAACAAATCTTGTGGATTGCACCTCATGTTATTCCTATAAATTGGTATCTTAAGCATATCTGGCAGCCTACCAAACAACCCACCGTAAATGTTTGAGGATCTCTCAAGCATGAAGCTGCAATTGATCAGAACAGCATAGACAACTGTTATAGCACCTTCATCATATAAAGCAGCAGCAACCGTCTACACCAAAAATGTGTACAATTAGCGAAGATCTACTAATCAAATATAGCTGTAAAACAGAAAATTACATACTGAGTTCTCTGCAATAAATGCTAAAATTCGAAATGCTGTCGTCAACTGTGCGATGGAAGAGTCATGAAGTGAAACACCATCAAAAGACTTTTCAGATATAATTTTTCCAAGATTCTCCACAACATTAATGTCAGGAACACCCAAAGTTTCTCCAACAACATTCTCAACACCAGTCAAATCTGGAGAAAGAATGCTCGTTGAGGATAAGTTAGCATCTCCTCCAGAAGCCAAGAGGGCAGCATACCGTAGAAGACCAATAACCCCGTTTTTATGATAAGCTACACCAGCATCTATCCATTTTAACAGCCGTGCTGGAGCATCTTTCCTATTGGACCCCGGAGAAGAAGAATGTAAAGCTTTATGAAGTTCCATAGCATGTCCAATCCAAGAATAGAGAGAAGTTGCAGATGAATCAGTTACAATGACTTCAAAAATCTCAGCAGCTGAGTGAAATATTGCAAGATTCAGCGGTGAAGCTCCTGAACCCCAGCAATCTCATTCAAGTAAGTAAATACATAATGAACATCCAAATAAGAAGATCAGTATTTCAAACCTAATCATAGAGCAAGCAGCATACCAGTAGTCTCAATGGCTGGCTCCAGTTCCTTGACTGAATGTAAAGTTTCAATCAAAATTGAAATGACCTAGAAAGGGGAGGGGAAAACCTTGAGATAACAGATTATAAGAAATGTAATCTAACATGTAAGGAACTAACAATAGCACGGAAAGATATACGAGGATTTGACTTGCAACAGGATTCTAAAATTAACTATCCTAATAGCTG